GCAGGTCAGCCTTTGTGTGGATTACTTAGTGACGGAAGAGCTGCCAAAAACCCTGACCCTGCTAGCCGATTTGCATCTGCCATTTACTTTTTACAGCAGCTTTTTTTTTTTATTTTTAAATGTTTTATTTATTTCTGAGAGAGAGAGACAGCATGAGCGGGGGAGGGTCAGAGAGAGAGGGAGACACAGAATCTGAAACAGGCTCCAGGCTCTGAGCTAGCTGTCAGCACTGAGGCCGATGTGGGGCTCGAACCCACAAACTGTGAGATCATGACCTGAGCTGAAGTCGGACGCTTAACCGACCGAGCCACCCAGGCACCCCTCTTTACAGCAGCTTTACAAAAGGTTGGTTTTGTTTTTTAGATGAGTAAGTGAAGCCCAGAGAGGTTGAACAACTTACCTGTGGTCACACAGCTGAGTCCTGGCTGCCTCTGGAGCCCTCGCTGGTCCCCACTTGACTGTGCTGCCTCTTAATCACAGGCTGCACCCGGGCTGCATGGCCCAAGCACATGACACGCTTATAAGGGGGCAGGGAGGGCACACGAACAGACCTGAGCCCACCAAACACCAAGTGTGAGAACAGCCCAGAGCCAGGATCCCACTAACGCTGGGCCCGGGGCTTACAGTGGCCTGGGCCTGGCTATTTAGGGCCCGTGTCAGGACTGTGACTGTGAATGGAGACAGAAGTGTGTGCCCGCCCAGGCCATCGGGGAGACCAAGAACATTCCCCTAGAGTTGAGTTAGATGCTTGGTGTCCAACTGGCCCCACCCGAGTGACGAGTTGTGTCACAGCTTTGGATTAGGGTGCATCTGGACCGATATCCTAACTCTGCCTCTCACACTGTGAGCTTGGAAGTCTTCCTTAACCTCGCTGAGTCTGTTTGCTCACCTGCAAAGTGAGGTAGGAACAGTACTGCCTCCCAGGACCCCTCTGGAGCTAACATGGGACAGCGATGCAAAACGCCGAACTCCCTGCTTGCAGAGGGCGCGCTGTATGTGTTCTGCCTTTCTTCTGCCCTTTGAGAGGATCCAGGGAAAGGAGCCCCACCCGTCCCGTAGGCTCGGAGCTCCTAAAAGGCCATCGCAAACTGGTATTCTGTTATGACACGTGCCAAAGAGGCAGAAAATTAAAATGTTGCCAGCCAGTCCCCTGGGAAAGTAATCCTGGTCGCACTGACTTTTTATTTTTTTATTTTTTAAATGTTTATTTATTTTGAAAGACTGTGAGTGGGGGAGGGGCAGAGAGAGGGAGAGAGAGAATCCCAAGCAGGCTCCAGACTGTCAGCGCAGAGCCGAACTCGGGGCTTAATCTCAGGAACCATGAGGTCGTGATCTGAGCCGAAATCGAGGGTCCGACACTTAACCAGTGGGGCCACCCAGGCGCCCCAGCGCTGACTTTTTAAAGGCTCTGCAGGCGGCCTCGAGTCATGGGGCCAGTGCAGGGAGCTTGACCCAGGACTACTGTGTCTCCTGTCTTCTGTGGGTTTCCCTCCTTGGTAGACAGAGGAAAAGAAAACACGGATTCTGCCACAGAGCTGCCTCCTAGACTCCTGGGAAGGTTAGGGTGCCCTGAGAAAGGTCCTAGGTAACCCGCCAACCCCTCCCAGCCACAGCCCTCAGGCATCCCTGCGGTGCCTCCACTTCCCGCTAGGGGACAGCACCTTCGCCTATGCCCCTACAGCCCCGAGGCCTACCCACCGATCCCAGAGGGGACTGTGCCATAGGAGTCACCTGCCAAGCTGAGCAGGGACCCTTCTCTGCCCTCAGGAAGTTTTAGTGACAGTGCCAACTGAGGACTGGGTTTGGGAACAAGAACTAGATTAAGCAGAAGCGGAGGGCTCCTCCCGGAAATGGTCACACAGGGGGCTGATGACTTCTCCCACACAGACCTCATCAGTGACACACGGGGTCATCTCCGTGGGACCAAAAAAAAAAAAAAAAAAAAAAGGAGAAATGGAGCCTGCTGCTTTATTTTGGCTTTTTGTGTTATCAAAGTGTTAGCAGAGTTTAAAAATCAAATAACACTGAGGCGCCTGGGTGGCTGAGTTGGCTGAGTGTCTGACTTTGGCTGAGGTCATGATCTCCTGGTTCTGGCTCTGTGCTGACAGCTCAGAGCCTGGAGCCTGCTTTGGACTGTGTCTCTCTCTCTGCTGCTCCCCCTCTCATGCTCTCTCTCTCTCAAAATTAAATAAACATTTAAAAAAATAATAATAATACTGAAAAACTCATCATGCAAAACCAGCAGGTGCCTTTCCCACTCCTCGCCCCCTGCACCCCCACCAAGTCCCATCTCCCCCTCATCCAGGGTCTGTAACTTTCATCTTTGTTAACTGCTTCTTCTGGACTTAAGCACCATATAGCATTCTTATTTGATAGTCTTTTATTAACTCTTTTTTTAAAAATATTTTATTTATTTTTGAGAGAGAGATAGAGACAGCATGAGCAGGGGAGGGTCAGAGAGAGAGGGAGGCACAGAATCTGAAACAGGCTCCAGGCTCTGAGCTGTCAGCACAGAGCCTGATGCGGGGCTCGAACCCACGAACCGCGAGATCATGACCTGAGCCGAAGTCGGACGCTCAACCGACTGAGCCACCCAGGCGCCCCAGTCTTTTATTAACTCTTGAGTTATTGCTTGTAGACGTTATTAGTTGACTTCTGATTATAGCGGATGACAATTGTGCCCTCTTACATTCCCCTTCTCCCCCTCCAGCCTCCCAATATACGCACACCACGGATTTTGTTAACGCGATACGCGAAGGTTAACAGTATGATTATGTAAATATTGCTTATTTCCAACAGCACATATTTTAACTATATCTGCTTTTCCTGCAATCTTCATTTTTCCTGCAATTAAAAATGTTCTTGTTTTCCCGCTTTAAAGAGGGTTTCTAAATTAGGCGTTAAACTTTTCTGTGTGTTTTCCTCTCAATTTCTGTCATGGTTCCCTTGTTGGGAACAATTCTCCTGTGTGTATATTTCTTGAGCATCGGCTTTTCTAGCTTGGTCCGCTAGGTGTTAAGAGATACAGAAAGAAACACGGTCCTTGGCCGTTTTGCAGCCTAAAATTTAGTTGAGAGACAAGAGAGGCACACAGAAAAAACACCAGAGCGTGCAGACATGTTGCCCTGCCTGCTGTGTGGTGGGTGGAATTAGTGGTGTCCACAGGGAATGTTGTAGAATCAGAGGCTAGAGAGTCACAAGGAAAGTTATCTTTCACAAGGAAGGCTGGAACCGGGCTTTGAAGTCAGATGGTAAAGCAAAGTTGAGGAGAGAACGCTCCAAGCGAGGAAATCAATGAAGTGTTCGTCTGTGGACCCCAAACACATGAGGCACCTTAACAGGCCCCAGTCTCGATTTCCTCATCATGAAGGGGCAGGAAGAAGTTCATTGCTGGTACTCAGCTGTGGAAGAGAAAAATCCCTATTCTTAGGAAACATACACTGAAGTATTTAGGGGCAAAGGCTATAAAATAAATACATGCAACTTGCCCTCCAGTGGTTCAGGAAGAAAAAAAATGTAGACAGATAATGTATTGGTATTCCTTTTTTAAAAATTTTTTTAAAAATGTTTATTTATTTTTGAGAAAGAGGGACAGTGTGAGCAGGGCAGGGGCAGAGAGAGAGGGAGACACAGAATCCGAAGCAGGCTCCAGGCTCCGAGCTGTCAGCACAGAGCCCGACACGGGGCTCAAATTCACAAACTGTGAGATCATGACCTGAGCCGAAGTTGGGCGCTTAACCAGCTGAGCCACCCAGGTGCCCCAAGTATTCTTTATACTATGTCATTTTGGAACTCCTTGAAACTTTGGAATTACTTGGAGTTATTTACATTTTTTAAAAGTTTTAAAGATTTAAGGTAAGCTATAAAGATATCCTCAAGAACTCTAACTTAAGGAAATTATCATATTTATATAAGGTTAATGATGTAAGCAGAAAATTATTCTTTGCTCCATTTGTAGTTAAAATAAAAGGAATTAACCGAAATATTTAATAAAGGCAAATTGGCCAAATTCTGTGGTACATTATGCTTCTATTAAGATTAATTTTTCCAACAAAATTTAGGTTAAATAGGATAATGATCAGGGTATGATATAAATGTAGAAAAAAGCAGAATGTAAAACTATACACACTGTTTAAATCCAATTGTGTATCTGTATAGACCCTAATTGAAGGAAATATACCAAAGTAATAACAGTAGTAGGATTACGAGTAATTTCACCTTTAAGTTTTTCTGTATTTTAAAGTTTTCTATAATGAGCACGTATTCATTTCCTAATTAAAAAAATGAACATAGGGGCACCTGGGTGGCTCAGGTGGTTAAGCATCTGACTCTTGATTTGGGCTCAGGTCATGATCTCACAGGTCGGTAAGACTGAGCCCCGTGCAGGGCTCTGCACGGACAGTGTGGAGCCTGCTTGGGATTCTCTGTCTCCTCTCTCTCTCCCCTTCCTCCGCTGGCATGCACGTGCTCGCTCGTGCTCTCTCTCTCTCGCTCTCGCTCTCTCTAAAGGAATAAATAAACTTTTAAAAAAAGAAAAATGAACACAATTTTCTAAAAAGCTACAGAAGAAAAAAAAGAGATCTGGGGACAAGCCCAGAGTTATTTTAATAATTTTTTAAGGATCAAGATAAAATTATATGTTTATTTTTTGAAATGATATCATAATTAAATAGAGTGTTTTAATATTTTTTAAGCGTGGAGAATATCTACCCCATTTGGGTGACTGGCCAGATTAAATGAAATGATCTTTGTAAACTACTTACAACAGTGCCTGCCCGAGGTAGTATATATACGTTATATAGAGTAGACGTATGTGTGTATATGTGAGATATATATGTGTATGTGTATTTTATATATTTAGTCCCAAACATTTGGCCATTTTAACAACCATCGCCTCCCTGCTTCTTGCTTGCCGGCCTCTGGCTGAGAATGGATTGTGTTGAGCAGGGCCTGTGCCCTGGGCCCCGATGGGGCAGGGGCTCACCGTGTGCCTTCCGCAGGTGGCCGCCGAGTACTTCAAGAACACCACGCTGCTGCTGGTGGGCGTCATCTGCGTGGCAGCTGCCGTGGAGAAGTGGAACTTGCACAAGCGTATTGCTCTGCGCATGGTCATGATGGCCGGGGCCAAGCCGGGCATGTAAGTAGTCCCTGGGGTGCCCAGCGCTTCCCCCGGCTCCCAGGGGGCCACCTGGACAGTGGTCCTGGGCCACAGGGGAATGTCCAGTTCAGGTTGTTTTTCTACTACTGGGGATGGGATGACACCAGGGCTGCTGGGCTCCTACCTCGCTCTCCAGGGAGAGGGCCCTTGATCGTGGACTAGAGATTTGCGTGTGTGACTTCGGTGTCATTTATTATCACAGTCTAAGTAATATGTCTGAGTAATCTGGACTGTAAGGACAGTAGGTTACAAAATACAAGGGACCCATTAGGTAACACAAGATGGACCAACATAAATTGTTTCTCAACTTTTTTTGGGTATAAGAAGGAACAGGCTGGGCAAGGAAATGGGTGTCTCCTCCTTTGTCATTTAAGTAGATACAGAGATTCCCTCCCATCCACCCTGAGATTTAGTCGTCACTGGTGCAGCCCACAGCTTAGATATGTTGCATCTGACCTGGCGTCTGTAATCACACAGCTTGGCCTCCACTGCGTCCTCTTCTCCGCTGTCAAGAATGTCAATAGAGAGATTCCCAACCCTAGGGGATGAGTAAGAAAGGACTGACAGTTTTGTGTTAACCTCACCTCTGCTCCGTTGAACGACCCGACCTTTCTCTTCCCTTTGGAATACGGGTCTCACCTCCTTCTATTTACAGCTTTCTAGTGCCATGTTTTGGTAAGCTGCCCTGACTCCTCTGGGGGTCCAGTGGAGTATAAATAAATAATATGGTATCAATTTTCAACATTGGTCGTTTAGATGAATACAGGTTATGCCTAAAAGGATGTTCCTGTCTCCCACTTAACTACAGCTTAATTTAAGGTAATTTGCCATATCGTTCAGTGATACCCTTGTGCCCCACACTCAACCTCCTAGGCACACAGTGGCATCTACACATCACGTTGGGACTCTGGAGCTCTTTACAACCTCTGTGTACTCAAATTCAAGGTCAAACTGCAGAATGCTTATCCCATTGCATTTCCACTTTATTTAACTCATCCCCCAACATGTTTCATCCCCTGTAGGGTAGGGGTCCAGGGCAGACACACTCACGTTGCCATCCGCATAAACAAAACCATCACCCGGACTCTGGCCCACCTGACATAATCCACTTGATAAATGTGCTGTCCCCAAATCATGCAAAGTCAGTGATCCCACCTAAAGTAATAAACATGGATAGCCTTTATGTTGGCTTATCTTGTGGAAGTGAGAACCCGGTCTGTTCCAACACACACTGTCATGCTTTCAAAGTCCAAGAGAAGTAACTCGAGAGTTATTTTTGTTAGTGTTTTCCTCCACATGTTGACTCTTCTTCAAGAGTCAACTTGAAGCTGGAAAAGTGAACGCAGTGATACGGGACACTTGCGTGACTGGGGGGGCTATACTTTCAGCAAGTTGTCAGTGGGGCAAGTGGTGAGCAGAGCTGTGAACTCCATACGTCCGTCTCTATGTGGTCACTAATAACTACGGTGACTTGGCTGCGGAACGTAGAATGTAATGTACCTGTAGTCGTGCTGGCTGCAAGGGCAAAAATCGAATTCCTTTATGCACAAAACCCCCACGTCATGACCAAGCTAATGGCTGCAGAGCTGACCGATCGGTAAGTCCATGCTCTGTAACCCTACTCCCAAAGCTAGTCTTTGCTTAAGGAAGGGCTTTTTCCTAGCGGAGGCCATTAGCCTGGGATGCGTGATTTATTCACTCAACAAATACTGATTTAATGCTTACCCTGTGCCACGCCCTGGGAGTCCATAGCTGAATGCGTGACATAAAAACCAGGCTTTCTGGATACTCGCTACCCCCACCCCACCCCGTGCCTAGCCAGCACCGTCGGGTCACGGAAGGAGCCCTGCAAGGTGAGAGGGGAGGCGGCTGGGAGATGGCCGGGCTGTAGACGCGGTGCCCCAGCCGCCCTCCCTTCCAGGTTGCTGCTCTGCTTCATGTGCTGCACCACACTGCTCTCCATGTGGCTCTCCAACACGTCCACCACCGCCATGGTGATGCCCATCGTGGAGGCCGTGCTGCAGGAGCTGGTCAGTGCCGAGGAGGAGCAGCTCGTGGCCGGCAACCCCAGCTCCGAAGAGGCCGAGCCCATCAGTACAGTTTGCCGGAGGGAGTTCACCTCCCCTTTGCCCTCGTACCTTCCTCTTGTGACACCACCCAGCTCAGCGCTGCTCCCCAGGCTCCCTCATCTATGCCGCTCCCCCTTGTAACCTGGGACCCCGCATTCCTGGCTCTTCTTCCCTCCCCCTCACCGCAGCCACCACCTACTCCTTTCCCCCCAAAGCTGAAGGGTTATGACCACCCCCCCACCCCCGGGCCCCTGTGTGTCTGCACACCCCACCAGCCCTCATGCAGGATCCACCCTGTTCCCCCATTCAGCCCCAGCCCTGCACGGTCAGCTCTAGTGCCCGCATCTCACGTCTGCGTTCCTTTGCTACTGCAGGTCTCGATGTGAACAACAGTCAGCCCTCGCTGGAACTCATCTTCGTCAGTGAAGAGTGAGTATGGCTGCCCTCCTCCCAGGCAGGGCCTCTCCGGGTCAGCAAAGATGGGGCCTGAGCCCAGAAATGGCTCCTTTAGATGTACGGGCCAGGCTCACGTCCTAACACTTCCCTCTGTCCTGATTTCCTCTTCCTCCTCGGAACCACCGGCCAAGATCCCGAGGGCGACTTCCTCAACCTCAAGGAGTTGCAGTGATGAGGGAAGAGGCAGAAAGACTGACTCTGGTTGTCCACACATCTACCAAGTAGAATTTTTTTTTAATGTTTATTTATTTTTGAGAGAGGGAGAGAGACAGAGCGCAAATGGGGGAGGGGCAGAGGGAAAGGGAGACCCAGAATCCGAAGGAGGCTCCAGCCTCCGAGCTGTCAGCACGGAGCCAGACGCCGGGCTCGAACCCAAGAACCACGAGCTCATGACCTGAGCCGAAGTCAAACGCTTAACCAACTGAGCCACCCAGGTGCCCCCTACCAAGTAGAATTTCATCTGAACCGGTGTCCTTAGGAGAGTAATACATTTAATTAATGGGAAAACATTTGTATAATAAATGTCACTGAGGATTCTCAGAGGATCACAAAGTATCTTATAGACACTAGATACGGTCTTACTGGGTTTGGCCTTGTCAGGTAGGACACGGAAAGATGGGGTGGCAGGTGGTGAACTTGACAGCTGGTGAGAGAGCCTTGTGAGGGTGGAGAGAAGAGAACAAAGGAGAAATACACCCCCCAAACATTCACGGGAGGCAGATCCGTCAACAGCTCGTTTCTTCTGGAGATTTTGTATCAAAACGTCCTCAAGGGGGTGTTATGCTGAGCGAAATAAGTCAGGCAGAGAAGGACAAATATCATATGTTTGCACGTATAGGAGGATTAGGAGGAACTTGACGGAGGAACAAGGGGGAGAAGAAGGGCGGAAATGGTGGGGGAAAGGGAGAGAGGCAAACCATGAGAGACTCTTGAATGCTGACAAAAACTGAGGACTGATGGATGTGGGGGGGAGGGGGGGATGGGCATGAAGGAGGGAACTTTGGGGATGAGCACTGAGTGTTATGTAGAAACTAATTTGACAATAAACTATTTGTAAAAATAAAAAACACACACACAAAAAAAAACACGTCCTCAAGGGACACTGTGAGGAGTATGGCCTTCAAAAGTAGGATGTGTGGTGGAGCGGAGTTTTATAGCTTGGTGTCTTCATAGGGGGAAAGAGCTGGCACTGACTGAAACCAGCACGTGTGAGGGGAGAGCAGGGGGGTGGGGGTGGGGGGCTAGCCTGCAGGGTCAGAGGTCAGGGTGTGAGGGGAGAGACTTCCTCCTCCCACCCGCTGGGCCCCGCTGCTCCCTTGCTGCTTCCGCCTTCTCCAGGCGTCCATACCGTCTCTGAGACTGGGACCCTGGCTCTCTCACTTGGCCTGGCCGGGCGCCCGCCTTCAGCATCTCTGCAGCGTCCCCTGGAGCCTGAGGGCGGTGGTGAGGCGCTCCTGGATGACCTCCCACCCCCACCCCCTCGTTCTGTGCTGTCTGTCGCTTCAGTCCTCCCAGAGCCCCTCCGTTCTGGGGTTGCCTCTGCCTCTTGGGAGGGGCCTCTTCAAGAAGGCTCGGGCCCCGCTACCTTCCGGGTGCGTGACCCATGACAGGAGAGACCTGGCATCGTGCCCTGCCTTTGTCCTTCTCCAGACTGACATTCGTGTCCCCAAACTCTGAAGCAAAGAGCTCAAGTTGTCCCTAGAACTCCCTCGGCACCGTGCTGGTGGGGGCCGGTCTCCCCAGGGGCTGGCACCTCCCAGGCTGTCTGAGGGGCTCCAGGCCGGCCCTCCCCACCCGATTTGGGAAGGAGGTGGGGGGGACCCATCGTAGCACGCTCCTCCTCCCAGGCCAACAACACTCTCCAAAGAACGCTTCCCTCCAAACCCCGCTCAACTCCTTACCCTCCCTTGAGGTAGCCAGGACAGGGGTGACGGTCACCGGGCTCCAGTCCTGCACGCGTGTCCAACACCTGTCTTCACAGAGAGCTCACGGCGCCCACTGTCTTCAGAACCAAAACAAACCGGGGCGCCTGGGTGGCTCAGTCGGTTAAGTGTCCGACTTTGACTCAGGGCATGCTCTCGCGGTCTGTGAGTTCGAGTCCCGCATCGGGCTCTGTGCTGACAGCTCAGAGCCTGGAGGGGGCTTCGGATTCTGTGTATCTCTCTGCTCCTCGCCCACTCATGCTCTGTCTCTCTCTGTCTCTCAGAAATAAACGTTAAAAAAATTTTTTTTTTAAAAAGAACTAAAACAAACCGAAGCATGCATTTAGCACTGAGCATAAGCCAGGAATGCTTTGTTACGTTCCCACCTCCCTCTATACTCAAGGCCAAGGCTGGGTGGAGGACCTCCTGGGCGTGGAAGAGACTCGGCACACAAGGTAGCAGCTGTGTCAGAAACTCCCCGCCCCCTGCCCCCCGCCCCCCTTCTTGCTCACATGGGCTTCTCACCACGTGCAGGCCGGCCCTGCTGCTCCCGTCTCAGGGAGGCGCGTCACAAACTTCTCCTTCTAGACGGTGACCTTGAGTCAGCCAGGGAGAATGTGGTCAGGGGCCCAGGCGCTCCGGGCAGGCAGAGACCGGCCTGCTCGTCTGCTCTGTAAACGCCTGTCGTGAGGATGACAAGGTCAGGAGGGCTGAGGTCCACATTTAAGCGCCTAGCACCCAAAATGCACTCCGTGCTGTCAGCAGGGTGTCCCCAGGAGCCTGGCCGCACCTCCGGGCCCCTAGGAAGACCCGGGTGAGAAGAGGCTCTCTGCAGCCTGGGAAACCGGATTCTAGAGCCGTAGCTTAGGCCGAACACCAGGGGGGCCGGGAGGGGCGCTCCCCTGTCGGTCATTGTTCCCATTTCCTTTGCTTTGTTCCAGCACGTCGTCGACTGCAGACTTCACTTCTCTGATGCAGAACAAGGTAAGGCCTTGGGTGTTTTCCGTGCTTTCAGGTCACCTGGAGGTCCCTCAAGCGGACTCAGGGGCAGGGATGCCCGGCAGCTTGTCCTGGAGCTCGGCGGCAGCCGCTGGTGTGGGCACGGAGAGGGGCTCCTCTGACACGAGAAGGGCCGGCCGGGCTCCTGGCGGGGTCCGCGGGCCTCTGGACCCAGGTCGTGAGGGGGCTTAGCCTCGGAAGGTGCAGGTTAGGCTTTCTCCGGGAAACCCAATACTCAGCCATCCAAGAGCCAGAGTCACCCTCAGGACCCCTTGCAGTGGCGATGCCACGCCCCAACTGCATTATCAAAAGGGTCACATTTACGGATGAAAGCCGAGTTCACAGCCTCACCTCTTCCCCAGAGCTGGTTTTACGGCTTCTTATGTCAGCCCACATTTTGATTATCAAACCGTGGACTTCGTGGCGAGCTTTTTTCCCCCATCTTCTTTGTGTGTTAAAGAAAAATGAAGGATTCTTCATTAGCTACTGAAGTTCCAGAAAGTCAGGCTCTCCTACCAGGACAGAGCCCTGCTCTGCCAAGTTTCAAAAGCCTCTGCAAATGGGCTGCTTGACACGAGGCTGGATGGGAAGGCGCGAGCTGCAGGCGCAGTGGGGTGGCCCCTGCTGCACGATCGCCCGGTTTCTGGGCTCCCATCACCACAGCGCAGAGGTGTGGGGTGCCCATGGGGGTGGCTCCGTGGTCCCTCTGAGGCCACCACATCGTCTTCCTGACAGTGTGATGCTCTTTGTCCCCGCAGAACCTGAATGGTGTGTCCACAATCACCAACCCGGTCAAAATGGCAACCCCCCAGGGCAAGAAGCAGCACCGATCCCAGGTAATGGAGCTCACCCCCTGACCCTGTTTCCTACAGGAAGTGCCTTGAGCTTCCCAAAGGGCGCTGGCCTTGAAGGGCAGTGAGCTGCCACCAGGCACTCCAACCACGTACATGTCTGGGCCGCACGTGCCACGGACATAAAACATCTAACTCACTGTTGATTTTGGCAAGTCATTCTACCATCTGAGCCCCTATTCTTCCAACCATAAAAGCCAGAAGTTGGGGCGCCTGGGTGGTTCAGTTGGTTGAGTGTCTGACTTTGGCTCAGGTCATGATCTCACGGTTCGTGAGTTTGAGCCCAGTGTTGGGCTCTGTATTGACAGCTCACAGCCTGGAGCCTGCTTCAAATTCTGTGTCTCCCTCTCTCTCTGCCCCTCCCCCAGCTTGTGCGTGGCGTGCTCTCTCTCTCTCAAAAAAATAAACGTTAATAAAAACTTTTTTAAAGCTGGGGGTTTGACTAGATAGATCAAAGGTTGTCAAGCTGTTTCTCATACGTGCTTCAGGAAAAATGAAAATATCTTCTTTATTCTGAGATCGTAAGAAAACTGCTTTTCTCTGCAAATGAGGATTTTCCTGCTACTTACCATACCACTGAAAGAAAATGCAGAAACAAAATAGATACGGAAGCTGGTATAAAACTGCGACTACCACAAAACCCACTTAAAATGTTGGGTCCACCCAAATAATCTCAATTACATAACATCCATCATTGTCATAAATAATGCTTTTGGGTACCAAGCACAGTGGCAAGCATGTTCTCCCTGGTCTGGGCTCAGTGAGGTAGCAGTCTTGAACTCCATTTCCGCAGATGAGGCAAAGACATCATGTGCCCCAGGCCTCAGAGCCAGTAGTGAGAGGAGCATCTCGGTTCAAATCCAAGTCCCCCCCTCCCCGACCACACGTGTGTCCTTTCAGCTATAAAAGTAGATACACGCTGATGAAATGCTGCATCATGTTTTATATATTGGAGGCCTGTGAAAACGTTCATTAGAAGAAAGGATCCCGGAAAACCAATGGACCAGAGAATCTATGAGGTCTCTTCCAGCTCTGAGAATGAGTCTTTCGGGAAGGCTGGGGAGGGTCCAGACTGGCTTGGGCCTCCTACAAGGCAGGGCTTTGGGAAAGGAGGCGAGGTGGCCTCTTCGCCATGCTTTCCCGGAATCTGACCTGCTGACCTTTGTGCCAAGCGGCTCCAGGTCTCATGTAGACTCAGTGAGAGGAGACCAGGCCTGGGGGAACAGAGGGCACTTGCTTCTTTATCTACACTTGAGACCAGAGGTCAGCAACCTCTGACCCTGAAAGGCCACCATCTGGGCCAAACAGGACCCTAGAGAAGCACAGAAGGCCGGCTTTATATGCATGGGGTGGAGGGGCGTGGGGAGGCAACACCAAGAGGCGAAAGGGAGACCAGCGTGAGGAAGGGAGGAGAGAGTCACACACTGGATTCCCCCCTGCAACCCAAGCCTTACTTCTGAGTCCTGTCCCGGGGTCAGGACCATCACTCCAGCTCAGCACAGAACAACCGTCTTCCACGTGATATTCACACAGAGAGCGGAGAGCGACCGGGTGTGTTGGAGTTCGCATGAGAAACAGAACACGAGCGACAGAAGTAATAATAGCTTAGCATTCGTTCAATGCCAGGAAGTGTAGTGCTTTACATACATTACTTCCTTTACTCTTTATAACAGTCTGGTGGAGAAAATAAGATTTTGTTCATTTTACAGAAGAATATGCAGCTCAGAGGAGCTAGGGATTTGTCTCATCTCATGGGGATTTGTCTTTCCGCTGCACCCTGATGCCCCTGTTTTCATGCTTTGCGTGCGGGCCAGCCCACGCTGGGTTGGAGGGACTCACCGATTTTCCTCTCATAGGAGAAGCCACTGGTCCTGATCCCTGGGCCCAGGAACCAGGAGATCAACAGAAAGCACAAGTCCCAGCACGACCAGATGATCTGCACGTGCCTGTCTCTGAGCGTATCTTACGCCGCTACCATTGGGGGGCTGACCACCATTATTGGCACCTCCACCAGCCTCATTTTCCTGGAACACTTCAACAAGTAAGTAACTCACCTGGCTGACAAATACCTACGAGGCACCCACTACGTGTTGGGAACGGAACTAGGTGCTGAGGGTAGGGCGGAAAAACGGACCGAGAATAGTTTCCATACCAAGAGGGAAGAGAGGCGATCGAGCATGGCAGGTCAGCGGGACTGCAGAAGGGAGGGGTTTGGCTGGGGGAGCCCGTGGGGGCCACCCGGTCTACAGGGAGAGCACGCCTCCCCAAAGACGCAGCCGCAGAAGTGAGACCCAAGGCGCAGTGGGAGTACAACGGATGAAGAGAGGCTTTCCAAAGAAAGCAGTGAGTGCCAGGACTCGGGTGAGAGAGCAGAGCACATAAAAGAAAATGGTCAAGGGCAAAAGGAGGCCAGGGAGGAGGACATGCAGATTGCAAAGGGCCTCTTGAGGCCCACTACGGAGCTTGGACTTCATCCAAAAGGCCATGAGATGTCTTCAAAGCATCTTAGGCAGGGAGTGAGGTGATCAGATTTACAGATTTACTGACCATAGACTGAAAAAATGGAAAAAGTAGGAAGAAAGCAGGAAGGAAAAGGAGGCAGCAGGAAGGTGATTTTGGACAGCTCTGCAGATGCCCACGAGAGAGCTGGGCATGGCCTGCAAACACGGGCAGCGGCGAGGAGAAACCATCAGATTTGAGAGGTGGGCCTGGCAGAGGGAAAGGCCATGTCTCACTGTCAGACTCATGGCTCCTGCAGCTGGGGGAACAGAGCTGCCCTTTACCTAAATGAGCAGAAAAATGAGGAAATGTTGACATTGCAGTTGAGATGTACGGATGGATACACAGCTCTGAATCTCAAGGGAAACTTTTAGGCGAAAGGCACAAATTTAGTGAGTGGCCCAAAGAGCTGTCTTCATGAGTATGTAACCCATGCAGTCACACCAGACCGCCATGCTCAGAGAGGCCCCACACTTAGATTGATGCTCCACTGTCACCATCTGGAAATTCTTAATAATTTTTGAATGAGCAACCCCACGCATGCATGTTGTATTGGGCCCACAGATTAGATGGTAGTGGGTCCTGGTGGGATGCGTGTGGAAATGGAAGCCAGGAGAGCAAAGGAGATCGATCACTCAGGCAGAACAGACAGAGTCAAGTAGAACAGGGGCCATAAATATTAAGCATGAATATTTTAAAGTGGACTATAAACAAGAGAACAGCAGGTATCACACAGGGAAGAGGAAACTCTGGTGTCAGTCCATCAAAGGGAAAATGTGTTCAAGGAGGAAGGAGGAAGGAGTGGGCCATACTGTTTAAAGTGGCCGAACAACTAAGGAAAAACAAAAATGTATCCATTTGATTTGGTGACATGGAGGTGACCTAGGCAAGAGCAATTTGGCCAAGAGACTGAAAGGTGAAGTCAATTTTCAGTGCGGCGAGGAGTATGCTGGAGGTGAGTAGACGGAGGGTTGTCTGTGATGGGAAGGAGAGGTCGGGGATGACGACAAAGGAAGAGTCGAGTGGGGTTGAGGGGTTTTAAGACGGAAGATGTTTAAATGCTGATAGGCATGTGCAGGTGGGAGGAAAATTAGAGTTTTGGGAGAGCGGTGATGATTGGTAGAGTGATGTGACAGAGAAAACCAGCAAGGGTGGACTCCAGAGCAGAGGGCACAGAAACTGAGCACAGCCAAGACGATAAACACACCCTTCCATTTAGCAGGAAAGGGAAGGAGGGAAGGGCAGGAGGAGGGGTGGGAGGGAGGGAGGGAGGAAGGAGGTAAGGGGGGAAGGAGAGAAAGAAGGAGGGAGGGAGGGAAAGGAGAGAAGGATGTGGGGGGGAGAGATGGAGGGGGGAGGGAGGGAGGGAGGGAGGAAGGAAGGAAGGAAGGAAGGCAGGCAGGCAGGCAGGCAGGCAGGAAGGAAGGAAGGAAGGAAGGAAGGAAGGAAGTTGGACCAGTGGAAAGTTAAGACCCAAGTTCCCAGGATGTGGGCTTCACGGAGTCGTTGTACCATGTTATTCTGTCCAGGCCCTGAGTTTCTGCTCTTTAATTTCTGGTTCACTCTGTGGTTGGGCCAATTCATATTCTCTTAGTCTACTTCCTGGCTTGAGTCACGGTACGTTTAGTCATTACACTGGCTTACTTGGACAATAGGAATTCTATGAAAGGAAGGTGGGCTCCTTGGATTCTCCACTAGTCTGAAAATGCCACCATGCTGTTTTTCTTGGCATTGGTGAACAGACCACCCCCAGAGTGCATTCTGGCTGTGTTTAAAAAGTCTACAAATTAGTCGTTACATTCAGTATATATATTCACAATTTCTAAAGTGCTATAAATGGAATTAGGCCCTAACATTTATCCACAAGAGTCTATTTAACCTATTTTAAAAATCCACTCCTTTTCCTGGGTCCAGGAGCAGGACCTAGGCTTGTACGTACAGAGAAGAGATGATATAACAGATGTCATGCCTGTTAGCCCAGCGCAGCCCAGAGTGAGTCACTCAGTGATTTACATGCCCTCAGTGTCCTTCTAGCTCCAAAAGCCCTTCTTTCCACTGATCGTCACTGATGGTCACTGATGGTGACTGATAGTGACTCTGGCCCTAAGGGAGGGCACAAGCTGTTGCAACTTCCCAAGAGGCACATGGATGGTAAAGCTTAGTCCATGACCAGGCCACAGTGCAAAACAACAGGTGTTGTTTCTCTGCGATGACAGAGGAGATGGAACACTCTTGCCTCCTGTGCTTCCATTGTACTTTCTCTCTGGGGGAGTCTGCTCTTGGTCATTCTCGTTTTCCAGGCAGTGCCTAGTGTGAAAAGAGGGGCGCAGTCTCCTCCCACCTTAGAGGAGTTCTGTGCCAGTGCCAACTAGAAGAGCCCAAGGGGAAAGGAACGCAGGTGTTGCCTGGGCTAAAGTCGTGGCTCACATGTGGCTCCTCGGGAAACGACACCTGGGCTGGTGATGAAGGAAGAGTCCTTCCTTCCTTAGCCTGAGACACTAAGACACCCGTGCATGTTGATCAAAGACTTAGAGATTCTAAGTCATGGCGCTCCTATGGGCCCAGTCAACACCTGGAACCTTCATGATGCTCTAGAGTCCACACTTCTCCAGAATTGCATCCCCCAGTCAAAGCTCACTTTCCTTCCACGTGACTTTATTCCACGAAGTATACCAGACTATCCTTTCCATTCTCTGTTGTCCTGAAAAACAGATGAGTAAACGTTTAAGAATCTTCACGTAAATTCAGAGCAAAGAGGTCCCAAGTGGTTCTCCTGAGTGCAAAGTATATCAGTGATATCAATTTTGGGTGTTTAGGTGCCTTTTTTAGTTTCCTTCATAATTCTTGGGACCAGTAGAGTTGCAACTGTCAAAGATGTGCGTTCTAGGTAACGTTTTACCGTATCATTACCATCCTCCCTGCCGTTAGCTCTGATGTATGTCTTCTTAAGGAGCACTTAGCTACCATGAGAGACTCTTGAATGCCGAGAACAAACTGAGGGCTGATGGGGGGAGGGGGGAGGGGAAGGGGGAGATGGGCATGGAGGAGGGCACTTGTGGGGATGAGCACTGGGTGTTACATGGAAACCAACTTGACAATAAACTATTAAAAAAAAAGAAAAAAAGAAAAATTACTCTCATTTAAAAAAAAAAAAAAGGAGCACTTAGCTTATTACCCCCAGAAACCACATGGGAATCCGCCCTTTTCTAATTGCTGTCCTGGTTCGTTCCCCTCCAGCCAGTATCCAGCTGCAGAGGTGGTCAACTTCGGCACCTGGTTCCTCTTCAGCTTCCCCATCTCCCTCATCATGCTGGTGGTCAGCTGGTTCTGGATGCACTGGCTGTTCCTGGGCTGCAAGTGAGTCCCAGGACCCTACCAGCAGGACACTGAGGCTCTCCTGTCCATCCAGAGTCCTGGTGCGAGCCCTGGAGAGCACCACTCAAGGGGGAGCCGCCAGTAACCATGGAGGATGCATGGGGAGAACGCACCGGACTAGATGGGGAGTCAGTCACCTGGTCTAGACCCTCCAGACATACATGGACTCTGCCCTTCACTATGAACTCTACAGTGGAACGCTCTTAATTCCAACTAGCTGGTTAAAGGAACTGTCTGATTTAGAAAAAGTCTGAATGCCGGTGGTTAATGTAGTTTCATTTCTTTCAAAGCATACGGAGTAATTTGGGTTAATTTCTAAAGAAATGTGACTCCAAGTAGAAGTTAGTTTCTTTAGGCTTAATTTTATAGACACGAGTGATTTATACTTCGTAGTTGCATGAAATAGGCTCATATTTCTCAAAAGCATGAGTTAGATATTCCTCCTGCAATACAATTACTGATATTAACCTGTTTACACAGGCTTTTCTTCATAACCGTAAGTTGATCAGCCTCAAACACATAAAAGGAAGATATACATGATGTTTTGATATTGGTCCATGGGACCCAAGACTACATTGCTCAAAGAATGTTCTCTGAGCAGACTTAAAAAAATTTTTTTTTAAATGTTTATTTATTTTTGAGAGAGAGAGAGCAAGTGGAGGAGGGGCAGAGGGAGATGCAGAATCTGAAGCAGGTTCCAGGCTCTGAGCTGTCAGCACAGAGCCCGATGCAGGGCTCAAACTCGCGAATTGTGAGATCAGGACCTGAGCCGAAGTTGGACGCTTAATCGATTGAGCTACCCAGGTGTCCCTAGACTTTTTTTTTTTTTAAATAACTCAGAGGCTACTATTACATCAACAATAGCTGTATACTTCTATACCTCCAGTGTGTAGAAAACAACCCCACATAAATACACTTGCCCGAGTCTACAAGACATGACTTCATGTGGATACACCAGAGATATACCCAGATAAATATGCCCAAAAGTCTATGGGAGAGGCTGAGGAGAGGCTGCGAAACCTAGCAGAGAAAAGATGTAGGGTGTGGGGTGCCTGGGTGGCTCAATCGGTTAAGCATCTGAGTTGGTATCAGGTCATGATCTCATAGTTTGTGAGTTTGAGCCCCGCGTCAGGCTCTGCGCTGACAGTTCTGAGCCTGCTTTGGATTCTCTATCTCATTCTTCCTTCTCAGTTTCAGAGAGACCTGCTCGTTGAGCAAGAAGAAGAAGACCAAAAGGGAAGAGTTGTCAGAGAAGAGGATCCAAGAGGAATATGAAAAGCTGGGAGCCATTAGGTAAAAATCAGCCATTCATCTTCTCTCCTCCAGGAACGCATGGCAGGTTAAGCGAGCACATAAGCAGCCTTGTTCTCGATGGTCCCTTCAGCTGGGGGAATTTTCCACAACTATGAGTCCAGGCATTTAGAACTGCTACTTAATGCCCCAGTCCAGCTGGCCCAGACTCTGTGTGGCCGCCCTTCCCGTTTGCCATGTTCGAAGTCCAAGGTATAGCCGTGGTGTGGGTGTGGATACCATAGATGGGGTGGCTGGGGAAAGACGTGCGAGTCGGCACAGCCACACTCTTGGGCACACGCCCAATTCCCTGTAAAGTTAGCACCCTCACACTGCTCTGAATGGGCCACTGCTGGTCCATGGACGCTCCTAGGGAGCTGGGGGGTGGGCATCAGGCATCATCAAATACAGGCTGGAAGACCAAGGGCCTTTTGCAGGTACAGCTTTGGGCAAAAGGATCCGGTATGAGCCATATTTTTAAATGTTTTAATTTATAAAAGGAATACATGTTCATTGTAGAACATTTCGAACATTAGAAAAATATAAAGAAAAAAACTAAAGCCGACTTTTATTTAATTCAGTGTTAACTGTCAACAACTGTTAACATAATGTACTCTTCCTTCTAGGCTTTTTTGGAGCAAAATTATATGTATTTTTGCTAAAATTAAGTCCAAACTAAACACAGTTTTATATCTTGCCTTTTTTTTTTTTCTCCTCACTTAGGATTAGACTGTTTCATTCCCAGGCCATTAACTCTGCTGTGCAAACAAGATCACTAGACGTATCTCATTTGAGCCTAGAGTTATACCAAAATATATTTGATGTCATGGCCTAATGCTGAATATGTAGGTGGTTTCCATTTTTGACGTTGCATTTGTAAATAGGTGACATAGCACTGGCATTTCTGGTTATTTCCTTGCATGAAAGGAAGGACTGAAGTGAAGGTTCCACGTATATATCGTCAGAGTCCCTTACAAAGGTTCTAACAGTCCTACCCTCACCAGCAGCGTTTGGGGGCCTTTTTCACCTCATTCTCCTTGGAGGCTGTACTTGGTTTTGTTTTTATGTTTATTTATTTATTTTGAGAGAGAGAGAATGAACGAGAGCCGACTTGGGGTAGAGAGAGAGGAAGAGAGAGAATCCCACACAGGCTCCGCTCTGTCTCACGCGCCGAGCGATCATGACCTGAGCTGAAACATAACCGAGTGAGCCCCCCGGGCGCCCCTCATACTTTGTGTTGTTGTACGGCTGTCTGCCATCGTGCTCCCTTATCCCTTCCTGCCTCAGCTTCTCCAGTAGACGCGGTTGACGTCATATCTTCTGGCATCTTCTTGGCCCACTTCCCGCTTCACATCAGGCGCTCAGGGCAGTAAGGCGGTGGCTCTGAGCCCCAAACGCAGGAGCACCGACAAGCGAGGTGAAAAAACGAACACACTTCCCAGGTCCTTGGGCAGCTGTATTTCGGTTGTATTTTGTAGCTACCCTGAAATGGTCACTGGATTTTTCTTCATCCTCATGACCGTGCTGTGGTTTACCCGGGAGCCTGGCTTTGTTCCCGGCTGGGATTCGTTCTTTGAAAAGTAAGTGGTTTTGTCTCCTCCTTAAGGAGACCCGCCCCTTCCCACAGACTCCCCAGGGAGGCCCCACCTGTCCCTCCTCCACTCTTAAGGACGGCCCTCTGTTCCCTGGGAAGTCCCCTCTTTTAAGGGAAGCCACAGTGTGGGGTCGGGAAGAAAACAGCGTGTGGCACCTGAGTGTGGGGTTGGGATGTGGTGCTGCCCCTTACCAGTCCTGTGACCTTGGTCTTGTAATAACAAGCTGTCTCACAGTTGGCTCACGAGGTTAAAGATCAGCTGTGAGAGTCTGTGGCCCAGGGGATGGCTGAGGCCTTGGCAGGGAGAGGCAGGCAGAGGCCCCCGTGCCACCCCTGCGGGCCCGCTGAGGGCCGGGGCCACCGCTCTCTCTCAGCACGGCTCATCACTGGAGCAAAGATACACGTGGAGGTGTGACCCTTGGCGGACAGAGAGTCCATCCTTTTTCCTTCCCCTTTATCAAAATCACTCCTGACCCCTCCTTCCTTAGGGCCGGTAGAGCCACCCGAGTGACAGCCACCTTAGCCAGGCCCAGGCTCCAGATGTCAACCGTGGCCCATTAAATCCACCGCGGGCTAGTAGGGCAGCAGGTGCAGGAAGGAAGGCCGACGACCTTCCGGCCTGGGTCCCAAGGAGAGGCCCTGTGTTCAGCAGACTGTTCGAGACATCGAGCTACCCTCCTCCTCCAGCCCTGCCTGTCTCTTTGCTAGGAAGGGCTACCGCACGGATGCCACTGTCTCCGTGTTCCTCGGCTTCCTCCTCTTCCTGATCCCGGCAAAGAAGCCTTGCTTTGGGAAGAAGAGTAACGGTGAGAGAAGCCCAAGGGAAGTTTGGGGCTGGCCCGAGTCAGTGATTCCCAAGTCAGAATTTGGGGAAGGAGCCTTACCGAGGCCGTGCTGAGTGCCCCGCACCCCCCACGATAGAGGCGGAGCCCCCTCCCAAATCATTCCTCAATTAGGCCCTTACTCCACAAATCCCACCCATTAGGGTTCATCTGGTCTACCTCTGTCTACCTGTGATCCAGGGCAGCACCAGGAGCGCTCCCGGAGGACAGAGCCCATCATCACGTGGAAGGACTTCCAGAAGACCATGCCCTGGGAGATTGTCATTCTGGTGGGAGGCGGCTATGCTCTGGCTTCTGGCAGCAAGGTAACTCTTGAATTCTACTCTCACGGGGCTGGGGATTTTTCAAGCTGCTTTACCTAATGAGTCACTTCGCTTCTGGGAGGAAGATCAAAGTCGCCGAGGGAGAGGTGAATGGTCACCCAAGGGAACAGTACAGCCGAGAGTGGTCATCCTGTATCCTATTCCTGCCCTGAGCTCCTAAGCCAGTGCTGCTGGGGACAGAGTTACAGACCTGTTGAACTATTGGCTCGTGACACACGGGCACTCACACCTCACTCCCCGGCCCATGCTGCCATAAGCAAAAGATTTACTGGATTTTATAGCCATCTCCCTGTGGGCAAGGGACAGTGGTGTTAGAAGATGTGTCTGTAAGGGCCCGGAGACACCCTGCATTGATGCACAGAGATGCCCCTCAGTCAGTCCGTATGCATATATTGAGCCCCTCTGGAGAATGTATGCTAATGTTCGCATAAATGCTGTAACTGCCCCCTGACTTCCTGATTGGGCAGAACTGGGATGAGATCTTATAAACGGGGCGAGTGGGAAAGCGTTAGCCCTTCCTGAAATAGAAAATGATCCTCAGAATGAATCAGGTTCACACTGGTTCTCCTTTGACCTTCATGAACTGGGCTCACTTTTGACTGCCCATTCATTGAGGGCCAGTGCCATCTGTGTCACTAATAATAAGGTCAAAGAATCCTACACTTGGAAGGAACGTTGGAGGACACTGGGTCCCGTCTACCCAGTGAGAGAATTCCCTGCATGACACCCCTGGGCTTGAACACCACCAGTGACAAGGCATTTCCTGAGCAGAGAACAGAGAATCGCTCTTTACACTCTCAGCTCAGGTTCTCTGTCCATCTTCCACTATTAGCTCTGGCTCTCTCCTCTGGGGCCCCGTCCTAGGTAATAATTATTAAAATAATAAAAAGTTATGAGATCCCCTTAGATCTCCCCCCCAACTAAAAGTCCCTAGTTCCTTTAACCATTCATCAAGAAGCAGTGACCCCTTACCATGCTGGTCTCTCTCCTCACCACTCACTACACTTTGCCCTTGGCGTTATTCAAACGTGGTCCAGAGATGGTCTCCTTCAGAGTCAAGTAGTCCTATTACCCAGCCCCATCTCTCACCTCTGATCCAAGCTCCATTCTGCATTTTAAAAAAGAATTTTTTAAAATGTTTTATTTATTTTTGAGAGAGAGGTAGAGACAGCATGAGCAGGGGAAGGTCAGAGAGAGAAGGAGACACAGAATCTGAAGCAGGCTCCATGCTCTGAGCTGTCAGCACAGAGCCCGACGCGGGGCTCAAACCCACGAACCGTGAGATCATGACCTGAGCTGAAGTCAGACGCTCAACCAACTGAACCACCCAGGCGCCCCACCATTCTGCATTTTTATGGAGGCTTTTATAAGACCTCATTGGCACTCATGTCAACATTTATACTGAAACTGCAGCCAATTAAAACCCCCAGTCTGGGGGCGCCTGGGTGGCTCAGTGGGTTAAGCATCCAACTTTGGCTCGTCATGATCTCACGGTTCATGAGCTGGAGGGCTTTCTACTGTCTGAAGCCCAGAGCCCATTTCAGATCCTCTTTCTCTCTCTGTGCCTCCCCTACTCATGCTTTTTCACTCTTTCAAAAATAAACAAACAAAATTTTAAACCCTCATTGTTTTCATTGTTAGCTACTATTAAACTTCAAGTCTTTCAACCAATTCTGTATATATGCTGTTGGTATTTCTAATTCCAAGTTCAGAATATCATACTTATCTTTACTGAATTTTAGTTGTTAGTTTTGGCCCCTGGAAAGATTTTTTTTTAACCTAAATTGCATATGTATTACAGATAGCATAGTTGATATTTCTGTACAATCTACTGACTCTACTAATTTTAACAATACAATTCACGTATGACATAGGTGATTCCTACTGAGTTTGAAATAATTTCAGTCTTGACATGAGGAAAATCCAATGTAAAATATTTGCATACAAAGGTTTAAAAAAAAAGTAAGACTTCCTTTGTTGTGCTTTTTTCTGACTTTGCAATCTAATTTATCACTTTATTTTAAATTACAGTATTAAATAGCTTCTGGAAAAAGAAGTGGCATTACAATTATTTCGCTTTACTTTTTTTTTTAAAAATTTTTTAAATTTATTTATCTTTGAGAGAGAGAGAGTATAAGCAGGGGAGGGTCAGAGAGAGAGGGAGACACAGAATCCGAAGCAGGCTCCAGGCTCTGAGCTAGCTGTTGCACAGAGCCCAACGCAGGGCTCAAACTCACAAACCGTGAGATCATGACCCGAGCTGAAGTCAGACACTTAACCGACTGAGCCACCCAGGCGCCCCTATTTTGCTTTACTTCTGAGTACCATGTGGAGAACTCCAAGATAGTACTCAGAAGTACTATTGATAAATGGAACTCCATTTTTTTATAAGAAGTAGTTTCCACTCAGCTAACTGCTCTTCTCTGTCTTCCAGTGGGCCAAGTTTAATGTGCTAGGAGAGAATAATTATAGAGTTTCTAGAGCCTCAAAGCTCTGTACCAACCATTAATTGCTGTAGTCCCCACACATTGGATTTGCAGCTCTCAGTCAGTGCTCCCAGGTAAAAGGGCCACAGCAGAGAGAATTTTGAAGGCCTTTGGTCACCAGCTGCCTATGAGCTCGCCTTCGGGTGGCCGGCGTGCTGTAGAAATCAAATAGCCTTTGATGAATTCAGCAAAGGGGAGACAGAGCAGCCTGCTGACAATGTGGTGAGGCTGTCTTTAATAGTAAAATATGAGTAGGACTTAAGCTTGAGGAATCATAAGATGTCTCACCTTGCTTTCGGCCCTGCTCTCCATTTCTTTAGTGCATTTGCAATCCCCAGGGTCATCCAGGAAGGGCAGAGCGCATCCACCACAGGAGGGAGAGGAGAAGGGGGCAAAGGCACGAGAATGCATATGGCAACCTGGGGATTTTAGTACAAAGACTCAACGGTGTCCTTCACTTTTCAGGGGCGGGAGATCTTCACCATTGGCAAATGAACAGTTCCCAACCCAATAAGTTAGTCCAAGAGGGAATATTCATTTATTGGAGTAGATCTATGTAAATTTTGCTATAGGAAAAGGTTCAAGAGTGGCAGCATGACTTTGTATCTTGTGTCGTGAAAAAGCACTGACGATTGTAGACCCTGATGTCAGCCATGATGAGACTGAACCTGAGACAGGCTGGGACTGCATGACTTGGCTTCTGGGCCACCTTCCCAGAAGGGGGCACCTTCCCACTAAATGGAGATAGACACATAATCCCTCTCCTTCATTACTCCTGTAAAGGTTCTAGTGCTCGGTCCCACCGACTCCCCAAAATCCATAGGAAAGGTTATTATCCAAAGATGGTGATAATTTTCTCCCTTTCACAGGTGACAAGAGAGCTAGACTTCAAAAGCAGAAGTGAGGATTACCCTGGGGAGTCTGTGTAAAAAGCACTGCTGACTACATACACAGAGTGAGAATGTCAGAAGCTGGAGAGAGTAATGAGATTGACATTGAGGGGCTTGTCGCCCCCCAAATCTCTAGCCCCTGCCAAGCTATTATACAATCATAAAGAATTTTCTGGGCTATAATAGTCTAATCATCAAATCAGTAATGCCTCTGGGGCCAGTCTGCCTGAAAATAGGGAGTCTAAGAATTCCATTGGGAATGGGTGTTTCCTCCTTTCTTCTTATTGTATCACCTGTCTTCCTGCAGAGCTCTGGCCTCTCCACCTGGATTGGGCACCAGATGCTCTCTCTGAGTAGCCTCCCACCGTGGGCCGTCACCCTGTTGGCTTGCATCCTGGTGTCCATTGTCACAGAGTTTGTGAGCAACCCAGCCACCATCACCATCTTCCTGCCCATCCTATGCAGCCTGGTGAGTGGGGCAGGGCTCCCAGGGGTCCGGATGGGCTCCCCCAGACCCAGGGGGCAGTTCCATGGCTGTCTTCTCTCCTCTGGTCATTGCCGTGGCCTTCACTGATTGGTGCTCAGGCTGTAGTTTGGAAATGAAGTCTTTCAAAGGGCCATTGATAAGTAAATCGATAAATTAACAGATCGCAGCAGGGGTCCTAGAAACCCTTTTCCAAAAGACAGGATTAGTTTTGAGGCAGTCCTGAATGGAAACAAGAATGGACAAAACCTTAAAAGCCTAGGATTCCAATTCCTCACCATCATTTCTTTCTCTCCGAAGACCTAACAGTGGGGCTGGAGGAGGAACTCCAGAAAATGGAGGCAAAATGCCCCCAGAAGCACATTCAGCCGTAAGGACAGAGACTACAGCTCTTTCATCACCACCTCCCCCCAGTCTCTCTGTCCAGGAGAGTCTGAGAACTGAGGGCAATGCCAGCCTGACCCCACGGTGTCAGAACAATCGGTTACTGACAGGCCAGATCTTAGCCTGGCTGAGCAGCGCCCAAAGTAACGCCCCAGGCACAATGTTGTGTCTGTCTCATCTGCGAGGTGCAACTTAGAAAATGAGGGGTCCTCCCCAACCCCCACAAAATGATAGCCTTCTGCTCTTTTTAACCCCAAGCTACCCCCAGCCACTCTCTCTGCTCATTGCTCAGATGTCTCCTTCCATTGCCTGTGTGCGCATGGGAGGGCACTTAGTTACAACCTCTCAACACTGAGGGCAAGACCATGCATGGGTTCAAATCCCATGCAAAGCAAGCATCTTACTTAGGAAAAAAAAAAACCAAACAACCCTTGGTTCAGCACCCCAAGGATGCAGGACCCCTGCGCCAATCAAAGCAGCTTATTCGTGAGATGTGAGTTTGAAGAATGAATCTCTCGGCTAAAGAATAAAATTAGACCAGCACCACGAAATGAAACATCCATTCCAGGAAGGAACTCAAAGCCCGCGTTTCCCTGGGGAGTGAGTGAGCAGCATGAGCCCATCTGGGTAGCCCAGCGCTGTACGCTCTCGAGGGTAGTGCTTGAACTACCCCCGGTGTGTGGTATCCAGCCAAGGTCGGCCAACACCAAGCCATCACTGAAAGTGTGTTTGCGATGCTGAGCCCAAGAAACGCAAGCATAATCTGAACGCTAATGTCTCTATGAATTCTCTCCTCTCCTAGTCTGAAACGCTGCACATTAATCCACTCTACACCCTGATCCCAGTCACCATGTGCATCTCCTTTGCAGTGATGCTGCCCGTGGGCAACCCCCCCAACGCCATCGTCTTCAGCTACGGGCACTGCCAGATCAAAGATATGGTGAGTCATGGGTGCCTTCCTCCTGCCAGCCCCGGGGACGGGCTCCACAGCCTTCTCCCGAACCTTCTTATTTTGTAGCAGTGCCTGTTGTCTGCCAACACCCAGTGCGGTGTGGTAGAAAGAATGGTACCGGTAAGAAGGCTTTTGGTTGGTCCATGAGCACCAAAGATAGCAACCATGTCCCCTGCCACCCTTCTCTGGGGGCAAGTGGGTACGTGCACAGGCAAAGCTGGGACAGACACGCGACGCGCCCAGTGTGAGGAGGCACAGGTCTTTGCCTTGGCTTCTTCACGGGACCTGCAGGGGATGTTCATTCAAACAGCTGCTGGCTTACTCACGGGGGCGAAGTGGGAGACCCCTCAGGAGCCCAGGGGGAAGGGCTGATGGGACGGGACCCGCCGGAACTCTCCCCAGCGCAAGAAGCCCCAGAAGCAGTGGGAAAATGAAGCCCCCACAGCCAGACTCACACTAGATGGCTTTCAGGGGACGTCTGGTCAGACTGTAGTGCTGAGCACGTTTCCCCTCCACTCAGCCTACACTCGCTGCTGGGCTCCTTGATACCCAAGGTTTTGGGGTTCGGGGGAAGATAAAAACAACTCCTAATTACTGGGGCGAGGCTGTCTGAAATAGGGCCCATTCCCCCCCTCCCCCGGGCTGAGGGCCTCACTAATTCTTTGGCACTCAAGTCCCAACGGGTTCTCAGTAGCCCTGTAAATATCAGTCGGAGGAAAGGAAGCAAGAGCTTCAGGCCAGGAGTAGACATTCAGATCCTTTTCACCATTCAACCCGCTCATCTAAGTGCTCTGTAATGTTTCAGGGAAGGGAGGTCACCGCCACCCCCTCCTCCCCATCTCTTACTGCACAACCCCATCTGCTCAAGAGAGCTGAGCTCGGTCTCAACTCTCTTGTCCCCCCCCACCTCCCCAGCTTCCTCTCCTGGGTGCCCCTCCCCCCACCTTCTGCCCTGGAATCGAGCTATCAGATACAGTGCCCTTCAAAGGCACCAGGGGACAAGAAGTGAGCCAGCCCTGGGTTCTATAGTCTGGGCACCGACTCGAGACTTCAGTTTCCTCCTCTGCTAAAGATGGAGGTTCCAAGCGAATGTTCTACACGGTTCCTTCTTAAGGTTCGGCCCCTTTAGAACCTGCCCCTTCTGCTAGGAGACATGACGGCTCTCCACGCCCAGAGCCCAGGGGGCGAGGGTGATGAAATAGTCAGGGCTCTGGCCACCCATGTAGTCCCTTGCTTCCTCACAGCTTTCCCACGCACGGCCGGCTAGCGGACTAGTGGTGGCGACGCGCTGCGTGCGTTTCCTCTCGGGGAGGGCGCCAGCCGCCCTCCCTGCACACCTTTCCATCCGGCCCGGCGCCCATCCGCCACGCCTCACACCCCCTCAGCCTGGAGGGTCAGTTCCGCCTCACGTCCCCCTCAGCCTGGAGGGTCAGTTCCGCCTCACGCCCCCCTCAGCCTGGAGGGTCAGTTCCGCCTCACGCCCCCCTCAGCCTGCGAGGGTCAGTTCCGCCTCACACTCCCTCAGCCTGCGAGGGTCAGTTCCGCCTCACGCCCCCCTCAGCC